TAACGATTGTCTTTTATTGTTCTATCGGATCCTCGTATATCACTAATCGTATTATTTAAGAGAAATTGCTCTTTGAAAATATCGTTATTAGAATTTAACAATATTTTATTTATCCGTTTCAATCTAAGATTTTTATTCAGATATTCTAACATTTTTATTCAGATTTTATTAATAAGAAATGGTTTGAAATATTGAATCTAGATAACAAACATTTATTTTTTCAATTGGTTTTCATTGACGAGAGAAAATTATCATTTATAATTCAACTAAGTCGTTTCCTTTAAATGTGTTTTAATTGATATTGCTAAAGGCTGCATATTGTTGTATTAATATCAAAACCACAAATTAGGGCGCATTGCATGTAAAAGTTTTGAATTATTTTGTTATATCAGTTTTTATGGTAAGTAAGAATAAATCATATTAAACCATATTCTCTGATATAAAGTTGTGTCTCAAGTGCTTTTCAATGTATCAGTTCTTAGTACATTCCTTTTAATTTTTACTTACTTAAATTTATCAATTATAGAAGTCTTAAAACTTATACATCAACGTCTAAATAAAATCTAAAGCAGCCATAACACTAAGAAATTGCAGCTTTGCACATACGATAAGTTTTTTTGAATAAGTCCTTGTCACTGCTGTTTTTTTAGCTACCCCGAGTTCGGATCTTTGGAACAGTATCATTAAAAATAAGATTTGATATTTATTTCAACTTGTTAAGATATTTATTTTAACAGAAATACAATAAACATGTTTCAGTGTCAATTTTTACAAAGTTATCAATCTTAAATTTAAACTAACTTATAGAGTCGAAGCAACTTGATCCTAGCGTATCAAAATTGTTACTAAAATATGATTGAACTGAATTAATTTATTTATCTTTCAAATGCTTCGCTTTTCACCTCAGTGAGTTTTCAATTTCACAATAACAAAACGGGCATTTCTTCAAGGAGATCAAACGTCTACTTGAGATACAAAGAACACTACTATAGGGATCAGAGTCAATTGTGAGGAATTTTAATAATAACTTTTACTACTACAGTTTATATTATTGTACTACAGAAGTATAGAATCACATTAGATTTCCAAATTTGATATAATTAATACGTTGACAAGATATATAGTAGTGCAACATTTATGAATGACTGAAAGCGTTAATAACTCGTTTTACAAACTGTACAAGTTAAACATACTATCAAATTTATACTACAACTGATACTTATTTATTTAAACATATGTAAATATGTGAAATTAAAAAAAAAAATAAATCAAGTACTAAACAAATTATGTTCGTCATGACCGTACAACGAATGCGGGCTTTGTATGTCATTCAAACTGTCACTCGATTGTACGTTGTCGTCAGTTCATAAATCTATGTTGGATATCATATAAATGAGCTCAAAAATTAAAATTATTCTTTTTAAATTTATAATGGTGAAATTTTGAATACAAACTAAACGAGGCATGTAGAAAATTAGTTTAATTCAGTTAAATTATGATTAAAATAAGTTAAATTTTTCATGTCGCCCCATGTTCAAGTAATAGAAAACTCAATTTTTTTGAAATATTAAAGATTACTATTCTTTTTCCTATTATCATACTTGATTTTCTTTCATTTATACTTCATTTAATGTGTGGGTGTTTGTATCTTTACATGAACATTGAAGCTTAAGTTAGAATTTTCAGATCAAAGATTTAAGACAACTACCTCTACCAATTTGTTGACATTAAGTGGTTTAATCTTGGAAGTTTGCCAAAGTTGTACCTGTAACTATAAAAGGAATCCCCGCAGTCCTGTTTTTTGCTTCCAAAATTTTCACTAATGAGATTGATTGCCCTCAGTTATTACATAAACTTAACAAACGTGTACCAATAAGGCCTCCTCTTTACAAAATAACTCCCTTATATCCACCACCTCGAAAAATTGTGTTCGGATCAAACTCCCCAGTCTCTAGACTTTGCAAGCTGGTTAATGATTACAGCGACGTGTTTGATATTTATTTATGACGACTCAACGAAAAGAATTCGGTCACTGTTAAACACCTTACCTTACCTTACCGGTCACCTTAAAATTGTATTTGTCCGTCTTATGGTTCACTTTTAATTTTTAATTTGATCTTTTCATTGTTTCTTTAAATTTTTATTTTTTTTTTTTGTAAATTTACCTTTCTTTTAAAAAAAATTGCTTTTGTTTTTACTGCGGCTCGATCTGGGACGTCTTATTTAGATAGAAATTAAGCATGATGTATCTACCTATAAATGTTTGTCACACCTAGTTTTAAGTTATGTGCATTGTATATTTTTCTTACGTATTTGATAATGTGAACAAATGTTGGTGGATCAAATATATGTATAAATAAATAAATATTTAGTTACGTTTTTATAACTTTTTACAGTAAATAAGATTGTGTTACGATTTCCTTTTTTATTGCTTAAGTTTCTTTAATGCATGAAAACAAAAACTTAAAACTGTATCAAATAAAAAATAACTGGTATAGATGTATAGTAAAATAAATGTGAAATATATTTAATTCACGTCTCCAAATACAATACGTAAATGGCGCACAATGTCTCAAATAATCTTTCACTTTATACGTCTTACTGAATGAAATTCTATGTTTGTGTGTAATGAATGAATTTCAGACTAATTAATCATCAAATAAGTCATAAATGCATATGAATGAACCTGCCCGATAAATAGGTCTTCCACTTTTATTCACCTTATTTTCTCTTTAAAAAAACAGGTAAATTGTAAGCAACAGTCGTCTATATGTCATTGTTCTAAACCCAGCTTTATAGTTCCTTTAATGTTTTCTCATAAACTGTTTAAATAGCGTTGTTTTATTGACCGATTTGCTAAAATAATGGAATATCGACCTTTATGTTCTGTGCTCAAGACACTGTCAGTGATTATAACTTAGGCCGTTGATATTATAACAAAATTTCAGTTTTCTTTAACCTTAATTTACCGAGCATACTAATTCAATTTTTAAATCTGAATAATTAACAAGTTCTATTAAATTAATAGTGTTCAGTATAAGAAAATTACATGGATTAATTTTCTATTATTAAGATAAAAGAACTTAAGTATTTCGCTTTTTTATTAATAATAATTATTTTCAAAATTTAAGTACTTCAAAATCATCTACGAATATTAAATTTTTATATCTTAAACTAGAATAGAATTAAATGATAAAGATATTTATATAAAACATACTGTCACACTTGCTACAATTACAATCGTACAAGGTGGTCCAACGTTCTTGGTGAAGAAATATCAGCTATTTTGAAATAAATTTTAAGATAACCTGCATGTACAAGAAAGTGTGTAAGATGTTTTAATTTGGAAATTCAATATGATAATAATGTCAGCATACTTAATTTACTTAAAGCAATTAAATAAGCCATTTACGTATGATAAATCATGTTAGTATAATCCAAACAATTGAAATAGTTGTTAAATATCTCACTAAATGGAGTCACTGTCTATGACGCGATCTGTCATTCTCTTAAGCCGTAGTATACTTGCTCTTGTTTCAAATGTATTACCGTGTAACTGAACTATAAGTAAATTATAGTTTACTAATTTTATCCTTGGTTTTTATCGCCCAACCCCATCAGCTAAGTAACAGGATAGAGAAAAATACCATATTTGGAAGTAATCTACTTGTATAAAGGTGAAATAAGTGGAAGGCAACGAACATTACGCTTTTATGGGTATTTGAGATATTAGACATTTTATTCATATGACAAAAACCTGTAAATACCATGCTATGTATTAAATTTGTTTCATATGTCTCCATGGAAACCTGTAAATCAGGCTTTCTGAAACTTTAGATCATAAAATTTGGCACTAAGAATATAAAAGCAGTGGAATCTCCCGGTTTGCTAAAAAGAAATAAAGAGTTGTTCGATTTAATTGAGTGACTTATAAATATAACAAAAAGAGTGTTTTTTATGTTGATAACTTTTTAACTCTACAGTTTAAGTCAGTGTTTAAAGGGCCCGCCTCTCGTCGCCGTACCAATGTGATTTTTCCGAATCATATGTACTTTCTAAGAGTATTTAGACATCTCTGATTAATGTTGATTCCCAAAAGATGTCAGGCAGGCGGACGGTCGTAAAAACAAATAGCCATAAACTATTCACAACATGTAAGGCAGACCTTGGCTATAGCTGGGAAATTGCCAGGTAGAAGAAGAACAGAACTTTTTAATTCTACACGCTACATAGCTCTGATCATTATCACATAAATTTATTAATTAAATCGTTTAATCAAATATCAGAAGCTTATACTAAGGTTGACGATAAATATAATATTTTAATTTTAATACTAGCTATTACCCAAGACTCTGTCTACGTAAAAAAAAACAATGAATATCTTTTACGCGCCGCGTGCATCCTCCCTCCCACTCTAATGATAACACTTGATTTCGGAAAAGGTCCTAAAGAAACCGAAGTTACTCTATATTACCTTCGCTAACTGCTAATAACACTCTAGTCAAAATCTTCCACTCATTTCAGAGATTAATGAAAACAAACAGACAGACAGTTAAAAATCAGAAAAATATTACTTTGGTGTATGTTTCGTCTATATGTACATATGTAGTAAATAATGGTAATTTCAATATTACAAACAGTATTAAAAAAAACACTGTAATTTTATCATATTTATACATGTATATTGTATAGATTGTAATTAGAGAATCGATGTTGGGTTAAATTTTTATTTCAGTTTATTAACTACAAATACCTAATCACTACGTTCTATCTATTTGCCAATCCCTTTGTCACTAAACAAATTATGTACATACGGGTTGGCGGCAGTCAAACATCAACCATTTTGAACTACTCAATTTGAAACCTTACAGTCCAGCGTATTAAGAGTCAATTTAAAATACTTCTAAAATGCAAGCCTTAATTGGACGAATTACCTATCAGTGCAGTAGCCAATTAGAATATTTGACATTTTCATTACAAGTAACGAAATCTCAATTCTATTACAAAATCTCTTTAAATACATTATTGGGTCAATTGCAATAAGCAAACTATGTGACTCAGATGTTAAAAGAATTCAGCATTTTACTTTTCATAAATAACTTTTCAATTAAAGAAGTTGTTTGTAAGCTAAATTTTAATCATTTATCAAATTGTAGAAATATAGAGTTTGTAGTGAATCTCTTATATATACGTATATTATATTGTATGACTTATAAGATTCACGTGAATTAGGTTTAATTATACTGTTACATACTGTAATGTGGAATCCCTGAAATGGTATATTTCAATTACTATTATGGTAAAAAAAACTAATTTTCCTTAATTGACTTTTCTGCTAAACTATGATGTCACCGATGGAAACTTTTTTTAAGGAAATTTTATACAATGTTACATATTAAGGCTATACTTAAAATTCGCTCAGAATCAATTTCTGAATTTAAAATATCTAATAATTTAATTAATTGTTAAGTTCATATTTGATGATTTGTGGACTTTTACCATTACAGGGTAAGGGTCAAGTTCAAGCAATGGTGGAAGGTGATATTACAATCGACTTGCTTTAGGGTAAATTAATTTGAAAAGATTTCTGTTGAAATGGGTTATGATGATTGAATGAAAGTTATTACTTAGATAAAAAGAACATATTGTCACTAGTGTCTAAAATGGAATTTGTTGATTAGGCGAAAAGACTTTCTGGCTTCATTTATTGGTTTTATTCCAAAAGTGCCTGCTAAGACGAAGAGTCACTTTTTCAGTGCCTGGGACTTGCGACCCAAGTGTAGGTTTAAGGGGCCCCTTAAATAACGGGCGTTATACGCTTACCTCCACTGTCCAAGCTCCTCTCCCTACCTAACCAAATTTGAAAAGAACCTACTAGGGCTGCCTTCGATGTACGTTCCAAGAATGCATTAATGTGAGTTCTGGACAAGCCCAAGTCTTTTAGTAGGTTGTAGAGAGATTTCGCTGTTTTACCTCTCGCTCCCACCTCTTCCGCGTACAAATCTACAGCGAACCTATTTCGAGTAGGTTCGTTTGTGAGCTCGTAAAATTTGTTGACCTTGATGGTAAGGTCTTTGGGGATATTGGTTTCCCAAGGCACCGTAAACTCTATCATCACTACTCGCTTTAAAATTCGCGAAAACAGAAATATATCCGGTCTGGAGGCCAACGCACAAATATCCTCAGGGATTTTATATTGTTTTTCATACGTGTCCATCATTATAGTCCAATCCGACGCCGCTTTAAGGATGGAGTAGGGCTTGAAATTTGATTTTGTAGTCCTAGTGCCTTCTCTCACAAAACCTACTGATCGTTCGTTTGTGGTTATTTCCCTTTGCGCTCTGGCTACCGAAAGACTAACCGCTTCACGTATGATTTTTCGAACCCTATCGTGACGACGCGAGTTTTGACCGCTGTCCAGAAGCTCCTTACATCCCACCAGCAGATGCTTAGCAGTTCCAACTGCCTTCCACAGATATAGCAAGTTTTTTCGGTACCTTTACCCCATCTTACTAAATTACTCTGATCTGGGAGAGTCATCTGGAACGCATTGAGATAGAATTTTAGCAATGCTGGCGACCAATCATAAATTAAAGTGCGCCATTTTAATGCTAATGGGATGCAAAAATCTCCTATGTCTAACCACTCGTTCTGTATATCTAAATTCATTGCAAGGGTCTTATATTTATCATTCTCGTCTTGCCGAATAAAAGACTTCAATATATCCGCATCTTGGACTTTCCTATTTAATTCTAACCCCACTCTGTTACTTTTTGCTCCTATCATAAATTGCTTATGGAATTGAAGTCGTGACTCTAGCTCGATATATGACGGTTTATACTGTATTGTTGCAAGTTTAGTAACCTTTTTCATGTGGTTAATGGTTTTGGCAAGTAATTTTGTTGAACAAACCATTTTATTAACCAGGCAAGAAGGTACAAAATTAGTGTTGTATAAAACCTCAGTAGGGTGAAGAGTCAAAGTTGTATCAGCAGTTTTAATATCTAATATTTGTAGTATAAAGAAAAAAAAAGAAAAAATATTTATTTTAATTATGTTGTTTTTTCTTATATATTTTTTGCAAACTGTAGTATGAATTTTATATATTTTTGTACATCTTGTATGTCATAGATATAATAATTGATTTGGACATTTAATTTTTTACTAACTTTTATTTTATTTACAATAAGTTTTATTTATTCCAATATTCTCCCTCAAACTTTTATTAAAAAAACAAACCTCAATATGTCCTTATAATGTATAATAAAAAAAACTATACATATGATTTTTACTGGTATTACTATGTAATATTATAAGAACACAAAGTTATTTTTGTTTCATAAAATATCTATTCCATTAGCTAATGCTCTGTTTACAGTGGAGCTTAATTGTATTAAAGCGTTGATGTACGTCATGTGTGTTTACTTGTGACGTCGCCTTGTTAAAACATAGCTACTGAAAACTTATATAATTTTATATTTAAGAAATGCTACTTTATCTTATACTTAAGACATAATAATAATAAATAGTGAAGATATTTTCTTAGTGAAGAGACTTTCTCTCGACTTGAAAATAAAGTGTTCTCAAAACTTGCACTTACTTTATTGTTAATATTCGATGAAAGTTTTGCTGTTTATATTAAATTTGATAATTTCGATTATGCTAAAAATTGTAGAACTATTTCGTTTTTGTTTGTAGGAAGTGTTTGAGCTGTATTAATATTCATTTATGTTATATTGCAATAATGCAATCATAAAATGGAAGATCTAAAGAAAACCCTTCAACCTTTCGGAGCTTCAGATGTATTGTAGACGTGTATAAAACTTTTTATATAAATATGATGAAATCAAAGTATCAAACAGTTCTCTTTGTGTTTAGAAGATTCTTCAACATCAGACGAAAGAAACAAATATTTTATTACAAACATGAGTCTTAGTGTTTGAGGGAAGTTTAGATTCTACATATATCATCTCAATAAGTAATGGAGAGTTAAAGAATAAACATTGATTTGGTAAGCTTAGGTGATATTTTTTTGTATCACATATAGGTCGTTTTATCGTATTTAAAGAAAAAAATACGTCACGAACAAATGTACCTTATATTTCTTTCTTGTAAAATTATCTTTAACACGCAATAAAAAAGAATTGTTTATCAATTTCGCAGTTGACAGTGTTTAATACCAACAAATTATATATTTTCCACGATTGTAGGTACGTATATAAAAATATAAGGTAATAATATATAACTTTCTTTGAAAAAATAAATAAAAAAGTAATACTTACGAAGTTACTTGTAAGGAAGTATAAGACGCTTTTATTCCTCTAATAAAGATTTGCTTAACAGAAGTACCTTTTGTATTAAGAAAACTTTCAAAGACATTTATTTGACTAAAGAATTGACTCTGCAGTTGATTTAGATTTTAAATACTTCAATTAATATTTAATTGGAATTAAAGTTGCTTACATAGGTGTTTTAAGTATTCATGAGTTTTAAAGATATTGTTGTATAATCGTTAAATGATAATTGCAAAGGGTAAAATTGATAAAACGACATTTTCATCTTGTCTGTCCCTGATCACGATTACTTCAAAGGACCCGAAACTTTGGGACTATGTAGTTTTAAGATAATAATCCACGCGTAGTGTATACGAAAAAAATAGCTTTTAATTTCATCAATCCATTTTAATTCAAAGTTAAATGATCCCATTAGACTTAAACGACTGAGTGAATAATATCTTTTAATTATATAGAAATGTGTATAATAAAATATTTTTCAAAAAGAAAGACTAGAATTATGATTTTTAAACATGTAAGCGATTTCATGCTTAAAGATAACTTGAAACTCAAACATATGCAAGAAAACATGCAGGTTAGCGTATTATACGTAAGAACTTATACATATATTCTTTCGAATACTAGTGAATTCACTTTCGAAAATCTTAAATTAGACTCAATTTCACTAAATTCAGCTTTGCATTACTTCATTAGTAGGCATATATCCTAAAACATATTAACAGCAACGTGAGCTGCATTATTATGGTCGTAATTGTATTTATATTCGGGGCTCATGACACATGTACTGTATATCAAAAACTTTGGTGGTTATTCATTGAAATGAAACTAGGTTATACATATTTTCGGGTTTAATACGTTATTTAAATTATGTTTAGTTTCCATTACAACAACTGTTACCAAAGCAGACATGACCATACATTTTTATCTCACCTGTCATTAGTTTCATTTATTATACGAGTACATAAGTAAAAATGTATATCCAGGAATGAGATGCTAACTAACCAATATAAATATTTCTTCTCAGTCGCTTTCCCAACTACACTATCGTGCTCGTGTAGTTGATGTACATAGTTGACATTATCGTGCTCGTTTTTACTAAAGATTTAACCGTTATACTTTTTCTTCCGTAATGATTTTCAAATAAGAACAAATGTACTACAATGACATATTTCTATTAACCTACGGATGGTGTTATTTTATATAAAAGGCTTTTAAATTAATTTGTGGTTTGGTAACAGTTCCTCGACTCAGTAAATGTCGAAGGAAAGATTATACAACCCATATTTAGTCCTCGTGGGAGTGATATTGTGTCTTAAATAATAATGTTATTTATGACTGTAGATCCATTGTGAATCAAATAGGATATAATAACATTTTAATGGTAGTCCTACTCAATTTTAGTAATTATCGTAGATCCAAGTTTTTTTGACGTTACTGATCTGTTGGCTATCTTGAAAAATTAAGCCGCGTTGTATATCCGAAAAATTAAGTTTCATTTAAAAGGTATCTTTGTTTTATTTTTACTTTCTATAAAGTAATTTTTCATGTTATAAAAGAGAAAAATAGTATATTACTCCGTAGTTAATAGCACTGTTTGTGTGAAATAAAGTGAAATTCAAAAATGGGGGAATATTCTTGATATAGTAGATACTTTAATTTAAAAAGTTATTAACCGAATTTTGGGTAGATCTTTAGGCAAAGAATACAAATAAAATACACGTCATTTAAATAAAGTATGTGAAATTTCAAACAATATACATATATGTATTACATTGTAATTTAATTAATCGTTTCATAATACCGATGGTAGCAAGTTTCGTTACGACATCTTCTTCATCATCAGCCTATCGGAGCCCACTGCTGAGCAAAGGCCTCTTATCAAAAATCTTATGGTAAATTCAAACTTATTATTTTAAACTATAAGGTCATGTTTTGTTTACGATGTTTTATTTCACCGTCTGCCTGTGGTGTCTAAATACTCTTTTAAAATACATATCACTCGGAATAATCATATTGGTACTTGTCAGATTTCGAACCCGCGCCCTCATGCACGAGAAGCGGCCTGTAACCTCTGGGCAACTACAACTTATCAGTTAATACAAATATGTAAATTAAATTATATTCGCGGGCTGTTTTTTGATAGTATTATTAAATGATTCTTATCATATAACTCTCGCACGAGAAACATCGTGCAGTTTTTAACGAGTAATGTTTAATAAAATAATCTGTTATCTTTAGTTTAGGCATGCAGTTACATATATAGCTTTGAAGGTCATCTCCGTCACTAATTATGTGATCTTTTTAAAGATAATTCAACTATAGTCAATTATTTTTTATAATAATTATATTAATCTTTTTGATGAACTCTGTACTCGATGGGGGGTAAGGTAAGGAAATTAAGAAAACAAAGAGGGAAGATAAATCAAGCTATGTAGTTATATAGTACATATCTATATATTCTTATTCAATGAAATGTTGGAATAATTTAAAATAAAAGTTCTCCTAAAAACCAAAAATATAAACCCCTGATTTTTAGATGCATTTTGTGTTAGTTATTTCATAAAACATAGGTATGAGGACAATATTCCATGTTTAAGGAGCCCAAATCTTTATATTAGGATATTGTAAAGCTATATAGAACCTTTTTAACTCAAATAGTTGTGAAACGTTCATCTATTTGTGGATAGTGCAATACTTCCCACGTTTAGTTGTAGCGAAGGAACGAATACGTATTTGATTTATTCATTATAATTAATATTTAAGTTTAATATAATAAAAGTAACATATATTTTTTTGGTCTTGACTAAAAATATGGTACCTAATTTACTTAACCTTCCACTACTACTTCAGGGCTTAATTTATTTCATCTTCAAGATATGTATGTAGAAAGTTGTACATAAAAACTAGCTTTGTTCATGTTAATGAGTTTCTCAGAATCACAGTTTCATTTTTCAGAAACCTTAACCCATTTCTATACAAATAGGATGTAAGACTTTCAACAATTCGAGCAGAAAACTAGAAATTTAAATCTGATTGGAAAAAAGAATACCTAGGGGTTCAGTTTAGTAAAAATAGATTAGAAAATTTGAGACTCAATGAAAACTCTTCATAAAGTATTATTTCTATTAAGTATATTGAAGTATATTGAATAAAGTTATTTGAGTTTGAGTTTTATACAATATTTGTGAAA